GGGGACAGTATGGATGCTTTGGCACCTCCATCCCTGTCCTCTGCCCTCATGGTGGCCACGAGCTGCTTGAGCGGCGTGTGGCGGGACAGGTTGACGGTGAGCGGGCTGTGCAGAAAGGCAGGGGCATGGTCATTGACATCCCGCACCGTGACGGTGACACGCACAGCGGCGCTCTTGGGCTCCCATGGTGCTGAGTCCACAGCCTTGGCCAGGAAGCTGTAACTGGGCTGGCGCTCCCGGTCCAGCGCCTGGGCACTTCTGATGCGCCCACTCTGCGGCTCGACCTGGAACATGCCGAGTGACTCGTTGCCCAGGTAGTAAGAGACCTGCCCATTGGTGCCCTCGTCGGGGTCCTCCGCCACCAGCTGCAGCACCAGGGCACCAACAGGCAAGTCCTCTGGCACCTCCACCACATAGGCGGCCTGAGCAAAACCAGGCGCGTTGTCATTTAGGTCCAACACCCGCACGTTCACTGACATGGTGGCACTGCGCGGTGGGGTGCCGTGGTCTTGCACCACCACTGTGAGGCTGTAGGCAGCAACTTGCTCCCGGTCAAGGGCACGTGCAGTGGAGAGGACACCGGAGACTGGGTCTAGGCTGAAATCCTGCCCGGGGTCTCCATCTGGAACAGAAGAGAGGGAATAATGAGACAGCATGACTACAACTGGCACAAGGAAGGACCTGCCCTACGGTGCCCAGAGAGGACAGCATGAAGTCCTTCCCAGCATGGAGGGCAGAGCGAGCCATTCTCTGTAAGGCCCCAGTGGGACTGAACCTCCTTGGTCCAGCTCTGCATGTGTGTGTGCGCGTGTAAGAACTGGCTCCAACAGCTTACAGGCCTGTGCTGCTGCCACGGGGAGCCCCCAGATAATGCATGCCATGATAACAGCAAAGCGATCTCACTCAGCAACCTGTAAATTCAACAGTGGTATGGAACTAGTCCAAGCCTGGGGAACCAGACAAGAGCCTGGGGCACGAGGCAGTGCACCTTTTCCAGCTCTTGGGGCACTCTTTTCTGGGGGCAGAGAAACTAGAGCCACACGTGGTTTGGAGCGGGAGAGAACTGAAGCGGAACAGGAACTGCTGCAGGTGATGCTTCCCAGAGCCACGGGCGACCTCACTGCCGAGGAAGCTGCCACGGAGCTCCCCGCGCGCCTCACCTGCCACGCGGTATTCCAAGCGCCCGTTCTCGCCTCCGTCGGGATCGGTGGCCCGCAGGGTGTAGAGAGCCACGCGGCTTTGGTTCTCGGGGACCTCCACAGAGCAGGACTCGCTCTCGAGGTGCGGCGCGTGATCATTCTCATCCCCTACTGTTATCCGCACTGTTGCCTTCGAGAGGTTGGGGGGCAGGCCACCATCCCGTGCGTAGACTGCAGGAACACAGCAAGAGCACCGCAGGCTACCCTGCTGACTCGGGGCTGCTGCCCAGACTGTCACACGCAAAAGCCCAGACAGCCACCGGGGCAGCCAGGCATGGGATCGCAGGCACCCCTGCAGCTCAAACCACCCAGCAGCGCTGCGGCGTGCCCCGCAAACCCCCGTCGCTTCCCGCAGCCTGCCCTCCCAGCAATGCCACCATGCCCCAGCAGTGGGGAGCACCCCTCTGCCTCCCCTGTGCTCCCCACCCCCTCGCCTGCTGCACCCTCTCATGCGCCAGCACAGCCCTACCCATCAGCACGTGCTGTTCCTGCTCCTCGCGGTCCAGGGCACGTGTGGTGACGATAAGCCCCGTCTGCGAGTGGATGGAGAATGGCCCCCCAGAGAGACCCCCGTAGGAGACCTGCCCGTTGGCACCTGCAAGGAGGAACATGGTTTGAGGGCAGCCCAGCAGCCGCCCCAGAAACCTCTCGTTTGGCTCACAGCCCTGCACCTCCGTCCTCCCAGGCCTCCCACCCAGGGGTCACGCAGGCAGTGGGAGAGGACGATTCCACTCCCTGGCAAGCAAAGCCGGGGTAGAGATGTGTGGTGGAGGGAGGTCCCAGCCCAGCCCAGCTTGGGGAAGGGAAGATGGGCCAAGGAACCTGCAAGGAACAAAGGCCATTGTCTTGGGGAGCAGAGGGAATCACAGTCCCTGTTCTCATCTCAGCTTCTCCCAGGATTCGGCCCATCTCTCATCTCCAGACCAGGTGATGATCCTTCCCTCCATGGCCAGCCAGGCTCTCCAAACCAGGTGGAAGGGAGCAGAGTGCACCCGGTCCTGGGTGCCGCATCTCCAGAAGAGCCCCTGACCAAACCGGGCAGCTCGTCCTCGCCCCACATCCTCACCCAGGTCCCGGTCCGTGGCCAGCACCTGCAGCACAGGGCTGCCAGCCGGTAAGTTCTCCATGATGTGCGCTTCATACTCAGGTTTCTCAAAAGTGGGAGCCTCATCGTTGACGTCCAGCACCAGCACGGACAGTAACTGTGTGGCGGAGCGGCGCGGGAAACCGTGATCCATGGCCACCACCGTCAGGTTGTGCTGCACCACCTCCTCCCGGTTCAGGGCCCGCACAACGGAGAGCGCGCCTGCAGACATGGGGAGAGGGGCGAGCTGGGACCGCGCGGCACCAGGGCCGACTGCTCCCGGGACAGAGCCATCGCACGGCTGCAGGCACTGGGGTGAGCCAGGGACAGCCAGGTCGCAAGGGGGACAGCAGTAAGGCCAACCACGTGCTATGCTCGGGGCTCTCGGCACCCCACGAGTCTCCCTCCCCTGCGTTCCCCAGCCCGCGCCCTCCTCCCATGCACCATGCTACATCCCCACGTATCCCTGTGCCCTCCTCAGCCCCCACGTTCCCAGTGCCCACCCTGCATCCTCCTGGGGTCTCACCAGTGCTGGGGTTGAGGTGGAAGCGGCCGTCACTGTTGCCTGCTCGCAACAAGTAGCTCACGCGCCCGTTCTCTCCCAAATCGTTGTCCTGGGCCACCACATGCAGCGCCACGAACCCTGTCGGCTGGTCCTCCATGACGCTGACGGCCGCGGGGGGGAGGAACACGGGGGGGG